CTCCCCAGCCACTGGGCTCTCCGCCTTTGCGGACACAGGACGTGACCAGCTGCGAGCGCTCCCACAAGGTCTGCGCAGGCCTGCCCTGGGGCCCGGGCCCTTCCACGCCACTCTGGTGCCTCCTTCCTGCGTAAAAATGCTCCTGCCCGACCAGAGCCTTTGAGAGACCCCAAAGTGGCTACTAGTGCCAACGGCTAGAGAAGTGCCCGCTCTCTCACCTGGAAATGCTTCCTCTCCTGAGAGTCTACCCAAGGAAATAATCCTCAAGTGAAAAACTTTTATATTCAAAGATCCACCCGTTGTGTCGCTGTCCAGAATAGCAAACAACTGGCAGTAATCCGAGTGTACAAGAACAGGCGGTGGGGCGAATAAACCATAGCACGTCCGCCACATGCACAAGCTGAGAACTGCATAGTCACTGCTGAGGCGCTACTGAAGGCGAGGAGCCCACGCCCACACCGCAGGTGCCCACAGCGACGTGATGCCAACAGGCAGGGGCCACACGCCAGTGCGGACGCCCTCCGCGCCACTCAACTGTGCCCTCGAAAAGGTGACAGTGGTAACTTTTATGTTATGTGCATTATTTTACCACAATTTGAAATAAAATTTAAAATGCTAGAAAAAAGGAAGGGAGAACACAAAACTATGTGCCCAATATGCTCGCGCCTATGCAACCATCTCACGGAAACAGCAAAATGGTAGCAGCTGTGTGGCAAGACTAAAGGTGGTCTCTCCCCATTCTCCATGTCCCACCTGCCTGCGTTAACTGCTTTTGTTTCTTTAGAAGGTGTATGCGTAGCCTTAAGTGCCCAGGACAGAACAGGTGCCCAGCAAATGCCAGCCTCTCCTAACGCCCTAGGGTAGACAGGTAGACGGGTCCTGGGCAGGGCGGGGGTTGGGGGGCTGGGGACCGGCAGCTTTAGGACAGCCAAAGTAGGGCTCCTCAGTCCCCTTCTCTGTTGCCTCCTAAATGGGGAACCTCACTCAGCATCTCAGAATCGGGAAGGCGACGAGGTACCAGCAGCTAAGTGGACACACGGGACGGGCCAGCAAGCCTCAGTCCCACTGTGTGAACATGGTGAGTCACTCGGCCGCCCATGTCAAATGGGCCTGGAGAGGCCCAGCTCCTCCCAGTTGGTCACAGAGGTTTCGAGATGAAGCTAGAGCCCAGCCTCAAAGGAGAGAGACAACCACATGTCAGAGGAAAAGTTCGGGCCTGTTCTCCCTACACCCCCTCGGGCCCCACCCAGACAGCGGGAGGTCACCGTGGTGCATGTGGCCCAGCCGCGCCCGCCTGCACTTTCCCTCCGACCACCCGGAAGGGCTGGGTGTGGGTCTGAATAGAACCTGGCCCAGAACTAGATTTCCCCTGTTAAAACAATACCCAGGGGCCGGGCGCTGTGGCTCACGCCTGTAATCCTAGCTCTTGGGAGGCCGAGGCGGGCGGATTGCTCAAGGTCAGGAGTTCAAAACCAGCCTGAGCAAGAGCGAGACCCCGTCTCTACTATAAATAGAAAGAAATTAATTGGCCAACTGATATATATATAAAAAATTAGCCGGGCATGGTGGCGCATGCCTGTAGTCCCAGCTACTCGGGAGGCTGAGGCAGAAGGATCACTCAAGCCCAGGAGATTGAGGTTGCTGTGAGCTAGGCTAACGCCACGGCACTCACTCTAGCCTGGGCAACAAAGTGAGACTCTGTCTCAAAAAAAAAAAAAAAAAAAAAAAAAAAAAAACAATACCCAGGGACGCCTTTGCAGAGCCCGCCGGGCAGACAGGTCGCAGGCTGAGGGGGCACGAGCGCGGACACTGCTCCTCACAGGGCGCCCGCGCCTGGCCAGCCCCTCCTCCGGCTCCAGGACGGGACTGCGGCTTCCTAGGGCGAGATGAGAGGGGAGCTCAGGGTCCAGCTTGGACCAGCTAGGAGGGACGCTGCTCGGGAAATATCTGTAGAATGTAACCAAGGCGGAGGGGACGTCCAGGAGGGGGGACAGGAGCCGCGCCGTGCACTGTCCGTCTGTGATGCTGGCCCCGCGCGGTGAGGGTGGCCGCGCCGCAGTGCAGTCGGCTGCCCGCTGGGGGCCCTGGCTAGCGGGCGGGCGGGCGGGGCGGGGAAGGGCCTCTCTCGGCTGAGGCAGACGACGTGAGACCTCCGCCTCTCAGCTGGGACAGCTGCTATTCTCAGCCTCAACCTCGTCTCAGTTTTAGGCTCGGCCACAGACTTCCTGCAGAGGGGTGATGCTCTCATCATGTGTGTGTCACAGAAATCAAATTATCCCTCCCCTCCCACTGAGGCTAGTCACCCCACCGCACACACACGGCAGCCGCATGGGAACGCTGCCGCGGCTGAACGCGGGCTATGAATAAGCACCGTGTGGCCACACGGACAGGACGGCAGGAGGTCTGCCGGGGGACAGGGCTGCGTCTGCTCCTGTGCTGATGTCCCCACTACTTCCGTGCCATCACACCAGCTTTTAATTTTTCTGCCTCCTTCCCTGCCATCAGGCTGCTGGCCAGCTGTGAAGCCGCCTCCGGCAGTCCAGAGCCACCAGCATTTATGTGTCACCAGCTCGTGACGGTCCTGCGCAGGCCCCTAGTAATTACTGCTTCTATTAGTGAAAAGCCCATGATCAAGCTTGTTAAAATCGTGGGTAAAATTAGAGTTTGTAGGCTCTGACTAAAAGCTATGGGGCATCTCCCATGGTAAAAGCTTGGGTACAAGCTTGAATGACAGCACGCAGGGACACCATCTCTGGCTTCTCAGAATCCACTTTGCCTCCCTCCTTATTGAGCTAATGCCAGAAACAGGGCTCCCGCCTGTGCTCTGGGTGGGTGGGGTTGCCCGATTACTAAAGGGCTCTGATATTCAATGTGATCTTTATAGTTCAGGGGTTTCTCTCCACTGTTTAAAGACTAGGCATTTTTAACAGCAGTACCTTGGGCTGGGGTGGGGGAAGCCAGGAGAGGGCCAGGCTGGCCAGGCTGTTCTTAACATCCCCACTGTGCCCGAGGGTATGCCAGTTCCATCAACAGATAGGTCTATAAATCGGACTTCAAAATACTGCTCTATCCACCTTGTCTGATCTTCTTGCCCCTCTGGGAAGTAAGAGGACAGAACTTTTTTCTGCATTTCCCTGAAGTGGACCCTGAAGCCCAAAGACCCACCGTCACGCTAGGCATATAGAGGGACAACGCAACACTGGGTGACACAGCTCTGGGCCCAGATTTCCCAGGTTTAATCCCAGCTGTGTGACGCTGGGCAAGTCCCTCAAGCTGTCTGTGCTTCAATTTCCTCATCTAAAAAATAGGGATAATGACAGCATGTGTCGTGAGGGTTAAATGACTAAACACACACTCAGCCCGAGAACAGCGCTGGGCACACCTTTAGTGCTCAGTGCTAGCTGCGGTCAAGCACGGCTGGGCGCTAGGGAGCACTTTTAGAATCCAGAGCCCTGGGGCAGGTGATACTTACAGTGACCTTGTGAGAGGCTCCCCCTCCCTCCTTTCTCCCGCTCCTGTACTGGCTTTCCCTGGAGAGGCTGTGTCCTCGCCCCAGGCCCAGGGAGCCAGGCATGGAAGAGAGCAGGCACATGGCGGCCGTGAAGGCCATAGCTGCTCAGGGGTGCGGCAATCGCAGAGCATGGGTGAGCTGGTTGCTTCTGCTGCTGCGGCCGCACTCTGCTCCCTGCTACACCCCCAGGCCCTGCTCCTTGCCTCAGCTTGCTCTAGGGAAGGCAGGACCAGGGGCTCTGGGCTGGGTCAGGGGTCCTGGAGATAAAACAGGGCTCCTGGTTTGCCAGGGCTACTGGATTCCCCTCCCCCAACTTGGCACTCCAAGCCAGGGCAGCAATGTGGAGACTCACACCCCCACGTCTGTCCCCGGGCTCCAGCTGCCAGCCCAGGCTGTGAGCACCCTGGTGCCTGGTGCTCAGGATGGGCCAAGCCAGCTCTGCCTCCACTGGCTTCTCTGGCTGGTCCCACCCCTGCTTTGTAGAGATAGGGAAACTGAGGCCCAGGGAGGCACAGAGTGCCCTCTCCAGGCAGGGTCCTCTGCCCACTGTGCCGTTGGTGTAGGGGAAGCAGGCCACTCGTGCTGGCCATGGGCCCCGAACAGAGCTGGCCTGGAAGGGAAGGAAGACCTGGTTCGTTAGCTCTCATCCTCCTGGCCGAGGCCCCAGGACAGGGCCCTAGGAGGCCGGGAGCCAACACAGCTGCATTCCCAGCTCTACCAGAGAGGTCTGGTCTTTCCCCAAGAGCCCTGGGGACAGCCAGAGCTTGAGGACCAAGGGATAGCTGAAAGGCAGCTGGAAAAAAGCAAAGGGACCAAGGCCCAAGCTGTGTGGCCCAGGCCAAGCCACCTTCCCTCCACCACTGGCCGGGTGCCCCTATGTCATGGGGGAAATGATTTTATGCCTGTGCTGAATTTAAGAAAGCAAGCAAGGAAGTGCCCAGCCTGGCTACCTCCTTGAAGGACGCCCAAGGTCTGCAAGGGACGAGGGCTGGCGAGGGGAAAGGATGACCCTCTGGTGTGCCGGCAAGGTGCTGGGCCTTCAGTGCAGCAGACGCCCTTGCTTAATCCTCCGTGCAGCTGGTATGCAGAGTTTTGTTTATCTCCATTACATAGAGGGAGAAAGTGAGGCTCAGACATAAAACGACTTGCCCAGCCTGTAAGTCACAGAGCCACGATCTGAACACAAGTCTGTCTAGGCCCCAAATCCGTGACCGACATGGTGTCAAGCCCCCAGCCACACAGCCGCTCCTGATGAGCTTCTGCTGTGGGGAGGGCCCAGAGGAGAAAGCAGCCCGGGAGCAGAGAGGAGGCTCCTCCCGCGGCGCCCCTGCCCACCAGCTCAGAAGGGCGGGTGCCCAGGCCCCTCCAGGACAGTCAAGACCAAAAGTCAACCACTATTTTTACGAGCAAACTGCCCCCTCAGAGCCACGGGAAATGCCAGCCTGCTGGGCCCATTCCACTTGCTCAGTGCCGCGCCATCCGCACTCACCCAAAAGGCATCTCTGAACAGCAGCTGGGACATCATCCTCAGGCATCTGCTGCGCACAGCTGGCTCTCCTGCCACAGGCCCGCCCCAGGGCCAGGCGCCAGGAGCAGAGCGTCTGCAGCACTCCAAGCTCAGAAGGCAGCCACAAGCCCGAGACCAGCTGCCAACGGGAGGAAAGGCTCGACCTGTTTGTTTGGGGCGAGAATCAGCAGCAAAATGAGGAAGGAGTGGGGCTCAGTGATGGGAGGGCGGGCCCTGGTGTCTGCTGGCCCCTCAGCAGCCCTGCCGCGGCGGAGGACACAGGCTGGGACCCAGGGCAAGGAGCGAGGGTGCCAGCCCAGGCGGGAGGCAGTGGCCGGGGAGAGGCAGTCTGGAGTGTGGGCCGGCGGGCAGCAGCCTAAGGCCTGCGCAGAAGGTCTGAGCAACCTCCGTGGGGCAGGCCTCGGCCTCGCCCACAGGAAGTGCAGCTGCCGAGCTCCCCTGTGCGCCCCGCCTGCCACCTGCCATCCTGCTGCCTGCCTCTGTGTGCCCCTCCCAATGCCCTGGCTCAGTTTACTCTCAGAGGCCATGAACGCAGGGAGCTTGAGGCTCACTGACACTGGGGACAAGGAGAGGCCAGGAGCCCCGGTGCTGCCGCCCCCAGCCCCGGCCCTCTCCAGGCCCGGCCCAGAGATGCTAGACTCTCTACCCTCCCCAGGAAGCTGTTCTGGAGGGGCTAGCCCAGGCCTGGGCATCTGTCACTCATCAAAGCCTGGCTACGTGGCGCCCTGGACCGGGCCCTGCCCGCAAAGAGCTCCCGGTCTGGGGACAGGCAGCTATGCTCTGGGGCTGTGGGAGCACAGAGGTGAGGTGAGCAGGTGACTGGCCAAGGGAGGGCGCAGGGCCTCACAGGCACTGCCCCCACTGCCACTGCCGCCACCAGCTTCCAGATGAGACACTGTCTGGGGCAGGGCAGGCCCTCTGATGAAGGAGGCTTCAGGCTCGATGACTGTGATTGGACAGAGGCAGAATTATAAAGGCACAGAGGTGGGCGTTTGGAGACCAGGCTGAGGCCCCAGTTTTTGTTTAGTTTGGGCCCTACCCTTCAGTAGCTGAAGAACCCTAATAGACCCCCTACACTCTGAGCCTCAGTTTCCTCATCTGCCACTTCTAGTCTTTGGAAATGAGAAAGTGTCAAGAATATTTCTGGAATTTCCAGCTTTCCAGGAAGGTGCTGAAGGCTGTCTGGTGTCACCTGGGGAAAGCCCAGGCACAGCCCTGGGACGCCAGGCCCCGCCGGCTCAGCAGAAGATGCCACAGGGAGGCCTGAGCCGCGTGGGCTGCTGGAAAGGGATGAGTCAGGTCTGGTCCCCAAATCAGGGCCCTCACTAACGTCTGCCTGACAGCTGACTGGGGCGACAAGCGCGATGAGAGCCCTGCCGAAGACAGAGCGAAACCTGGGCCAGGGTTTAGAGAGGGGCACACCCAGGCCTCTGCAACAGCCACCCAAGAGGACACACGCCAGGAGAACTGCAGAGAAATGGGGCTGTTCCTAAAACCCGTACCTCCAGGGTCCTTGGACTTGAGCCAACGGACATCTGAGCATTTAAGGCATGCCCATCAGGTTCCTGTTACTCGCAGCTGAAGACAGCTAATGTGCAGAGTCACCTTGAACTGAGTCTGTATGCCGAGTCTGCGCCTCTCAGCCCAGTGGCATCACCAGCTCCAGTGAAACCGGGCCTCCCTGGGTGACTCCAGCTCTGGAGGCAGACCGGAGACCCTGTTACCGAAGGTTCCTACTCTCTTTTGGCAGGAAACTTCATGGCCGGGCTCCCTGCCCTGCTTTTCCAGGTGTTCTTTCCATCACCTCCCACAATGTCTGCTCCAGCCAGGCTGTTCCCTCTCCCCAAAGGCACCCTTCCCACTCCGACCTCCGACCTCTGCACCTGTGCTGCTCCATGCCCAGCCCCCTCCTGGCGTGCCGTCCTTGATCTTCCTTACCTGGGCAAATCCTCCCACCCCTGAGGCCACCCTCAAGGCTCCCACACGTGAGGCCTTCCTTTCCCGGGGGCGAGGGTCCAGCCAGGGCAGCCCTGGACGCGCCGCCACACTGAGTGTGGGCTGGAGCAACTGGGGAAGTAACTCGAGCAACAGCTCAGAGACTCCAAAGTTCTCTGCTGAAGAGGGCTTCCTTCCCCTCCCCTTTGCTTTTGCAGCTCCCAAGTTTGGACGACCAGACAGCCAGTTTGGCCTTGGAGCCTTTGCCCAGTGCCAGGTGCACCGTTACGCTTTGTGCACAGACCTCCTCACTCACGCTGTCATTGTCCCCCTTTATAGATGAGCAGACTAGTGGTGAAAGAGAGCATGCAGCTCCCCAAGCCACAGCCAGTAAGTGGAGGGCTGGGCTTTCTGATTACAAAGCCATACTTTTAACTTCCATGCTAGTCTCTTACCACAGCCTCTATTTAAAAAGGGCTTCATCCCACCTTCCTCCAGTTCTGCCTCCAGAACCTCTCACTCCAATCAACAGATGGAAAACCTGAGCCCAGGGAGGCTGCTAGTGCTTTGGAGTGACAGTCCTGCCTTGGCGAGTGCTCTCCCGCAGTCACTGTGTTCTCTGCATCCCCTGAGGATGCTTGGGAGGTCTGACGCGGAGAAAGTGTGTCTTCACTCGCAGGCCTGGCCCAGCTCCAGCCCAGCAACTCTGAGCCGCTCCTCCACCGACTACCTTCCTCCGTGGGCTGGAGGCCAAGGAGCTGCAGCTGCCTCGGCTACAGCTCCAGACACAGCCACATGGAGAGGGAAACAAGGGACACCTGTCCCTGTGCCTCACTTTCTCCAAAGTCCCTCCAGCTCCCCTTCCACCCAGCCCCCCAGACCTCCCCTCATGTCTCATTGGCCAGAAGTGGGTCACATGCTCACAGTTCTCCACCACTGGCCGTGGGAAGGGACTCCTTGTTCAGGCAGCCCTGGGTGCTGGGAGCAAACAGCCGTGACCACCACAGCCTTCTCCGCTGCCAGGGCTGCAGGCAGGCAGACGGGGTCTCTGCCCGAGGGGCCCTGTCACCCGAGGGCTGACAGGTTCCAGCACCCTGACTGCCACACTAGAAAAAAGTATTTTCCTTGGGGCCATGGTGTTTTATTACGAAAATAGAATAAAAGTTTTGAAAACAAAATTATCCTTTCTAATTAATGAAAAATTTTTTATTGTTTTTATTTTTTATTGTTTATTGTGCATGAGTGATACGCAACTTAAAAAATAGTTCTTGCGGCTCCCAAGGTGGAGAAACATGTGAGCCACACATGCTGCATGAGGCCCTGTGCTCAAAACTGGCGTGAGTTAAATCCAACTCACATGGCAATTCATGTGCTAGGAAGGTCTCTGTCCACGGGGAGTGGCTTGGCCGGGTGAGACCAGAAGAGGATATGGTGATAACTGAGAGAGGGATGAGGTCTGCATGGTAGCAGGGTGGGACATCAGGGGGTCGCAGGGGCCAGGCCAAGGCACCTGGGTGCCCTCCCTCACCGGCCACATCGCACCCATGCCCGGCCCCTCTGGAGCAGAGTCTGGTCCTGAAAAGCAAGGCTTCTTAGCGACCGTGCCAGCTGCTTCAGCAAATGGGCCTTGAGGTCTGGGCAGATGTGCCAGGCTCGAGGGAATCCCCACCCCGGCAAAGCCCACCCTGCTTTGGATGGTACTTGAACACATCTGCTGAAAGAATTCGAGAAGTAAAATGTCAATGGTTAAGAATAAAATGCAAAATCAGTTGTTATAACATTATCGCCACAGCCAGCAGCCTAGCAGGACTCAGCTCCTGAAGCCCCTTCACCCACCCTGCAGAACCACACGAGTGGGGCAGTAACCCTCGCCACCCCCGGGGAGTATTAGCCCCTCTAGGGCGGCGCAGCAGCACACGCTTCATCTCATTGGTCGCTCTGCGCCAGGACCTGGTGCATAATTTGCAGGGCCTGCACACACACAAAAAACGTGAGGCCTCTTACTCAAATAGCAGGAGTAAAATTGCCACTAAAGTACTAGAATACAAAACTTTTTCCTTTCCTGCAGTCTCTCCCTCTACCTGTAATGGCGTTTTTTATTTGCCATTTAATGTTACACTCCCTTGGGCATAAGAATATTTGTGGGACAAGCCTTTACCCGCACTGGGTTCTGCGTGCAGCCCACGACTGCTGGGTCTCTCCTGCCAGGGCTCGCCTACTGGGACTTCAAGCCAGACATTGCCATTTCCCACTGACCTACCTGCCAACCAGCGCTGGACAGGCATCCCCAAGGGTGTTGCAAGCTCCACGCCAGGATGCACTAGAGACCTGGAGCGATGAGTGAGAGACTCACCCCTGAGTCACCTGCTGAATGTGCCACCACGTGTTGTCAGCCTGGGGCAGGGGCAGTGCTGCCAGGCCCCAGCCTCAGATGCTACCAGGCAAGCCCTCGACCCTGACTGTTCCCCGCTTGCACCCAGGTGCCTGCTAGGGGCAGGGGGTAGCAGTGGTCACTAGGCAGGAGTCGAGTGGGAGGCTGGGAACCAGTCCAGGTGAGGCAGTGGGAGACAGGACCACACGAGCCAAGGCTCTAAGCCAGAGGTCCTCAAATGTTTTAAACAGGGGGCCAGTTCACTGTCCCTCAGACCGTTGGAGGGCCGGACTATAGTTTAAAAAAACTATGAACAAATTCCTATGCACACTGCACATATCTTATCTTGAAGTAAAAAAACAAACGGGCAAAAACACCCACATGTGGCCCGCAGGCCGTAGTTTGAGGATGCCTGCTCTAAGCCCTTGTTGCACGCTTCATTGTCCCCCCAGTCTGTATTAAGAAACACAAACTCAACAGTAATATTATTAAGAATTCCAAGATGGCAATCTCAGAGCATTAGACCCCAAGGGCAGTGCCCTCCTGGAGAGAAGTGTTTCCCGGAGGAGTGTCCCTCGGCCTGCCATCAGCATGTGTCCAGAAGGGCGCTCATGAGCCGGCTATTGAGACCCTGGTGGGTGCACTGCCATGGTGCTCCCATGCTGTTGGCTGCCCACCCATTCAGCCATGGCTGAATTGGGATGTTGCAGAACCCAGCCATGGGGTCCATTATTCCTGGGGAAAATGCCTACAGGGTCCCTCCAGGTGGCTAGAGGCACATGTCCACTGTGCTGGAGCACCCACTGTCACCCCCACCTGCCCTGCCCTGGAGTGCAGCAGGCCCTGCTGCAGCGCACCCACCAGCATCTACTGAGCCTTCCTGTCTGGGGACATGGAAATGCACCAGGCACCACTCCTGCCGGTCTGGCTGGGGAGGCAGCTCCGGAGGAGGATGTGCCGAGTGCGGACAGCAGTATGTGCAGGCAGAGAGAGCTCTGGCCATGAAGAGAGAGGGGCTGGCCCCGGACGCCCTCCCGCAGGGGGCAGCTGGTCCGGAGTAATGAGCAGGGGCTCACCCCTGAG